ATTTGTTTTGAGATGAGGATAATATTGATTTAAATGGTAATATTTAGAATAAACACACTTTGCCGACATAATTACCCCCCCCCCCAAGAAAAAGAAAACAACTGTGATCAGGTGAATTCATTCTGAAAGATTCACAAAACAAAGGACTTTTTCTATTGCATAAAGGTACGATCAGGCGTTTATATTACGCTAGATTTTTTCATTGACGCCCTATTATCCTTTGTTTTAAACAAAGAAGAGTGAACATTTGATCGTCTTCTGTGTACACATTCAATAGTATTACTTCTTCAAAGGAATATAGAGTAAAACAATATTTACGAATAATAACGTTTTTGTAAATACTGTCGTCAAAGAATCAATTAATAAACAGTTGAATACAATGAAGGATTGTGATATGTAGACGCTATCAATTTTATGGGAAAGAATTGCTATCTCTATCTTTTTGTGCAGACAAAATAAGATTTTCTACCTGTTTACATTTTAGATGTCGGTAATGCACTACTTTAGGGCAACCTTACTACAGAACACTCATAAGTTAATTACAGCGAATAGTACAAATCATCTTCAAGTTAATACAATTACTAAGATATCATAGCTCTGAATCATAATCCACCGTTTCTGAGTGACTGATGTTTGAGAAAAATATTGTTTTATATTTATCGATTGGAAACCTCAAATTCTTGGATATGTCATTTTGGAAGTCAAAATGCATTAGGCGATGATACCTGATGTTTGGGAATAGCTATGGTTAAAAAAATGTCATTCATTTTAAGTTACTATCGTAATTTGACGTTAATGTTATATTTTAGACCAATTAATAAAGTATTTACTTTTGAGCTGTTCTCTAAAATAGAATGAATATGTTTCTCACGTTGATTTCCCTCAAATTTCACACTGAATTATGACATTGAATGTTTATCTGACGGGATTAGTTGTTTATTCCGTTATTGAATGTATCGTTTGTTTTTAAGTAAACTTAACTTATAATTATATTTCAGTTTTTATTGGTCTAGGACGTTTGACTATGTTTTAGTGTTGTTGAAGGAACCGTTACTAGAAAGGGATAAGAATACACTAAAGTTTATTTATTCGTGATAAGTTGTAAGGAAAATAGTTCACTGTTAAGTAGTCGGTAGTAGTCGACAGAACATCTCAATTGGCCCTGTTTTTGTACTAGTTGGCACTCATCACAGGAAGATATACCTATAATCTTGAGGGAACTGATATTTCCTAATGAATTCAGATCCAGGTAATCCAATTTCACAGTCTGTGATGTCTAAGATCGACGGAATTCGATTGGCGTTCAGAGCTAGATAAACAGAATATTCATCACTACTCATTCTAGTTTAATGTAGATGGAAGGCAGCCATATTTTTGACAAAATCGTTAAGATAATATTTCAGCCGAAATGGATTCTTATTTAAACTAAACAGACATACAATATACACAATTCAGATGAAAAAGCAGCCAACAACTGTTTATTCTCTGTGTAAACATACGAAACGATGGCGAAAAAATATTTTAGCCATTAAATTTCTAAGAGAAATTTTCCTTTGACAATTTTAAATAAAGTTTTTGAATGGTGGAGATTTGTAGCTCAGGTGGATGATTTTGGTGAAGTTTTGCTTTTTGAGCTGGTTGGTTTGATCGTGAAGCTTTCATCGTTGAGACTCAGAGCCTCATTGTCTATCATATAAGTGAACACATGAAGAGAGAGAGTCAGTCATAACTTTTACGTTAGTTGTATAATTTAACTAGTGTAAACTTCTCAGCAGTTAATGTGGTAAAAAAGGCAATTACAATAAATGAAGATGTATAATTAATTGTTAAATTTCATAGTCTACATCTTAGTTAAATAACCATTGAAAGTCATGAACAATCGGACACCTGGTTAGTCCTCGTAATTAGCTCTTCCACAGTGTATTATATCCATGACCTCATTAAGGATCGAACTTCACACCTTCAGGTCTCTCGGTGAACACTTAGCTTTTAGATCACTGAGCCGAAATCAACTGGTTGAAGTATCGAATTGTATCAGTCAGCTTGTTTGTTGTTAATTGTAACAAACAAAAAACTATTATAAGCAATGATGGATGGTGGCTAGCAATGGAATCCAAGACGTTAGTTTCGTCCTATTTGGGACTCATCAGCCGGATGTACCTTCAGTTCATAGTTGATGTTCACTCTGGAACATATATGCGACTAAGAGACTGATCAATTACAATCCTAAACATCAATTAGAAAATTCAAACAAACAATACATAATGAATTAAAAAACTGACTATTATAACATATCTGTATCCATTTTCCAATGAAGCCGTTTCATAGTAATAGTTTATGTTGAAATATACATGGAGATAAATAGAGTAGAATCTAAACCTTTTGGTTATTTGGGTATTCAGTTGAAAAAAAGTTTCTCTCTCTCTCTGACATACATACACACACACACACACATAGACTCAATCTATCTATACAAAAGGTTCAAATATATCACTATATAACAACATGATCAACTGTAAAAGGAATAACTTTGATTGTCTATTGACTGATTTGATTCATTTCTTTATTCTGGATTAGTTTTTTTTCTAAATTTATTTAAATATTTAGATCATTGATAAAGTTAAAAAACACAACAATATCATTATCATCATTGCATGCGCACAGTTGTAAAAATCAGTATTTCCTGTTTTTGGAACGATTGAAGGAAGTGAAAAAAAGGGATATTTCCATCACTTGTTGTTCTTCAATAAAGAATTATTATTATTATTATTTAGAGAATAATAGTCCAACTTCTACAGAGTCTATTCATTAAATCATGGTAGTAGGTGAACTATGTAAACCTAGAGATCAACAGACAATGAGAATAATGTAAACAAGGAAAAATAAAAAATTTCAGACAGTTTTATTTTATAAATAAGCAGTTTGAGATAGATGTTAGTACTACCATTATTTATGACAAAGAAAGTCTGTTTTTTTTTCATAATTCGCATCACGGACTGATCATAGTTAGGTAACCATTCGGAAGGCAACCATTATGTACTTACTAGTGATTAGCTTCGAGAGGAAATTTCTGGAGTTCTTGTGAGAAGCTGTTGTTGATGGAGCTAAACTGTGTCGAGTGTGAGGAAGGTATCCACCGAAGACTATGAAATATGGTAGAGATGTATCGTGGGTTGATTGAAGTTAGACTTGTAAATGATTGAATTTGTCTCGACGGTCTAGATATTATGTATTTGTCACAGGAAAGAGGTTCCTAGGTTTGATCCGCTATGACAGATCGTGGATGTGCACAGCTGTGGAGTCCCATACTGGGACAAGATAGCTGTCGTGTGCTTGCAGATTTTGAATGGTTATCTAACTTTGGTCGATTCATGATCTTTTAGTGACCCGTTGATCTGACTCCAGTTTGAAAGAACGAATGAATATGTCATGAATACAAATTATCCTTTTTGCTCTGTATATTACACTGGCCTAACTCTGTTTGAGTGATGGGAATAGTAAGAAGTTCAATATGAGTTGTGTTGGATCAATTTATTTCAGGCACTTGTTTAATCAGACAAACATTAAGAATGAGAAGTGGGAAGGCAAAGCAAAGCGAGGCGAAGAAGGCAAGCGTGCCAACTCTCATTTTGATAAAGCGTGACTCATTATTTATAGCCAGAGGAAATTAAGTTAGAGACGTGATGAATATGGTGAGCGCCACTCACACACGTTCATGTTAAAACAGTAAAGGTTAATAAACGAATAATGGACAAAGTCAAAGTGTGACTTAAGAATAATAAATATTTTGTTTTTTCCGAGGCAAGAATAACCCATGTGGGCTTGACATAGTGCTAGACCCTGCAATCTCAATAAGATCACTGAATAGCTGTCTCACCTTAGTATGGGACTTATCATCAGCGAGAGTTCATTACTTTTCCAAGGATCAAACCCAGTACTCCTTGGCCTCACTTGCTCAGTATCTGATGATTTATATTTCTAACTTTAACTAGTCTGTCATATTACAAAACCATCTTCCAATGTCATTGGTGGGTAATTTTTTCATACCTGACATATTTGAACTTCACTGACCACAATGTGTCATTTGAAATATAGTCATTACTGCCGCCAAATTAGTCACATGTGGGCACATTGATTTCTATACAAAAAATATATCTGTTTACGTAACTATACATACTTTCTAGTCCTTCGAATTTTAGGAACCATTGGAGATTTAAGATATGGACTTAATGTTATTATGTTTATTCCCAATAATGTCTTTTTGTCGTTCGTTTTATGATGGATAATAGTGGATCCAAAGGCTCCCGTCTTATCATAATTAGAACTCGTCATCTGGCTCTACTAGCCTCTCAGTGTTGATCGAAGCATAAACTATCTACTTATATCTTTGAACACTAATAGATTATCCATCGGACCGCTGAGTTTAGATGATAATTTGTTCCACTGGAATAAATTATTTTGTAAGAATATATCAGTTTCACATATGGTTCAATGGATCATTTGTTATTAATTATTCTATTTTCTGTTAATATTGATTTTTGATAGTCGAAGACAATCGGAAGAAATTTCTGGACTTATGTTCCCAGTTATTTAGGATTCTTTACGTTAAGGTCACTACAATCTTGAGATGGTGTATATTCTCTGTGGAATTCAAACTCGTACCACTCAATATAAAAGCCTTAAGTGTCACTTTCGTCTCGCTTTCGTGATTGATTGATTTAGTTCAGTTAGAACTTGAAATTAGTTACTTATATACATGAAAATGAAAAAATATATACCGATGTATTTGACATGGTTTTAACCAAGACGGGTGTGACAAATGCAGTATATGAATTAAACTGAATATATGAAAGTATACTACGAAATATGATTTCAACTTTCCTCTTGCTGTTTTCAACATTTCTTTGTTCATTCACATCTGATTGTAAGTAGTTAGAGTGAAATTGAGATATTTATTTATTATCATCTTGATAATTTTTATTTGTTTTTCAACTCTGAAGGATCAGTGGATGAACGGCATTTGGCTTTACGAAAATCACATTCTTCCAAAAGTCTATTTCAACAAATCGCATGGAGAAGTTTAGATAATTCTAGACGACAAAAAAACATGCCAAATGGAGACTATTCGGAACCACTTTGGGCAATTGTTTTAGATAAGAAAATGGAAAAAAATCATATACCTGTAAGTAAAATTATATTTAATTTTCTATCAGACCACTTACTATGAGAAATTAAGATTGTAAATTAATGGTTTGACAACTAAAACATTCAAAATGTAGATGAAGCGAGAGGAGAGAAAGCATAATTTCTAACAGATAGTCAACACTTCTTTAGTAGGATATACTGACTTTAGGTGGTAGAAAATAATTGACAAAAATTCTTGAGCTCAGTTTCCACGCTATTCATCAGTACCTTTCAGTAGAGTGTATTTTAAACCTTGTAGTACAGATGCTGACAAATGGGTTTCGAAACTGCGTAGTCATCCAGTGTCGTAGTTTGAGATGTTACCATTGATGTACCCAGGGTGTGATTAGTTTCCGTAGGACTAAGGTATTTACGTTAGTCGACACTGATTTAAAACTAATTTACTGTTTGCCTAATCCTTGATGCTGACTTCATTCTACTGACTCCTTTGTGGCACGGATTTAGATCCTACGGTGAAACGACACTCCGAAGTTTAATACTGACTTTCTTCAACCATCTATCAACAAATATGGTTCATATAGCTTTAAACCACTTTGTAAACTAATAGGCAAATATTAATTAGTGCTGCTCACATGATATTAACTCCTACTTAATGATCATTAGCTGCACATGTATAACACTATTTTTATGCTTATGCAGCTGAATGGTAGTTGGTTTATAACTGTGGTTCTTAGTAGACTCTGTTGTAATTCATCAAACGAACGGCACTCTGAAGTTGGCAATTTAACTTTTATTTTTAAAGCCTGCTGGCATTACAGAACATCATAATAATATTGCATATAGAAAATAAAAAGAATAGAGACTGGAATACTACCTATGAAATGTGTGTTAATAACTTGTTGCCCGGTAATGTTTAGAAAGATAGATATGATTATTCGTATAAAAATGCCGTAATCAAACTAAATAATACTTTGCATTAACAATAAAAACTGTGTTCCTAACCAGGATTATGAAAGTGAGGCTAAAAACGTGACTTCCAAGATGTACAGTTCATTAACACATATTGATTCAATGCACGTATCGTGGCATAAAAAATGACAACATTAAAATTCAATGACATGAAAGTATATTTCCAGGTACTCGTAGTAGATTAGAACATTTCGATTACCATAATTTTCTATGAACAACTGTTAATTCCTAAGTGATGAGAAGTCTGTTTATTATGTAATTAGTGCCAAGATTTGTGTTTATATTATCAGTCTACTCATAAGTAGTTCAAATCAAGAAATGCAAGAATCTAATCATTATGGGAGTTGTGGAGATCACTAAGTTTTTAAATGAGATCGTGAACCGATTGATGTTAGATCACCATTTAAAAAAACCGGAAGCAGTGGACGGCCGTTTCGTCCTACTGTAGGAATCCTCGGCAGTGCGCATCCACGATCTCGCCCGCGGGTTTCGGACCCACGGCCCTCAGTTTTGCGCGTGATCGCTTAACCTACTGGACAAGTGAGCCGGCGTCCAATAGTGTTAATGTCTAATCTCAACCAATCCACGAACTTGCACGACCATCTTCCATTGTACTGAGGTGGATACCTATCTCTACCTGACACGGATTAGCTCCGCCGGCCACGGCTTCTCACTAGAACTCCGAGAATTCCCTCACGAAGCTAGTCACTAGTGAGCAGATGGTAATTGTCAGTATAGGGGTTGTGCAGATCATTAAGTTTTTGATTGAAAACATGAACCGATTGGATGCCGGCTTATTGGTTTATTAGGTTAAGCGTTAGCGCGCGTGACTGAAGGCCCTGGGTTAGAATCTCACTAGGCGGGATTGTGGATGCGCACTTCTGAGGAGTCCCACAATAGGAAGAAACGACCGTCCAGTGCCTCCAGGTTTTCAATGTTTTGTTTTAGAAATTTCTAGGGATTATTAATTGAAAGTAATTAGAAACTATATTGTCAAAGACTGACTTTATTTTAAATTCATGTTTTTGTAGTTTTGTTTTGTATTGGACTCATTAACAGTATTAGTTTTTTAATGATTACTCTATCATTCATTTATTTTGTATTTTTTTAAACTTAATCTAACTATGGATAATGTCAGTGGTTGAATAATGCAAAAACATCTAAACCGTTTTATCCATCATAATCTCTGAATAAATCCTTACATTTCGTTACAAGTAAATGACTGTAAATGAAGTGAATAATTAGTGCTTTTATTCTGTGATAATATTAATCATAATGACATTTCAGGAAAGAAAATTTTCTTCTTGACAATCATACTTCTTAACACTATAAAACTGTGTCTATAATTTGTTTATATATTGGTTACTTGAAACTACCTATTGATGTTTAACATTTCGATAGATCAGTCTCTTTTGAGATATGTAGATTCAGCTGATAAGTTAAGAATAAGACGGAATAAACGTCCTAGATCCCATTGTTAACTACTACACATTTCTGCTTAAAATGTTTCTTCAATTACTTAATGGACATAATGACCTGTTGAGAGGTGCGATAAAGTTGTTTAGTAGAGTGTTTGAGAATACCAAATATCAGCGATAGTTTATTAAAGTTACAATTCAGCAAGGGTTTATCATACAATTAATCTTTGGTTTTGTAGTTTCCAAATTCATCACTTGTAGTTGAACGACAAAAGATATGTTATCTTATTTTTCCAGTTAGATGTATAGTTACGAATTCAGCTATTTTCTTGAATGAATTCGTATTGAGGGTATTACACGACAACCTAGTCAACAAATTAGCCAAATTCTCTCATATACTTTGAAGAGAGTCATTTATTCTAACGAATATAGAAAAAGTGAAAAGTTTCAAATGTATAACAGTACACAGTTTGTTTCATGATGAAACATTTTTGTAAAATATATCAAACTACTCTAGTATCTCATAATCTGTCTTTTGGTAATTGCTGTATCCAAACATTCTGAGACATTTTGACACTAGTCAATGAACTCAACACAAAAATACATTTTAAAGTGCAGATGCATTCACTCTTTGTGTTATCCCAAATCCTAATCTTCTGAATTCTTCGTGTCCTTTTTTTCTCGTTCCAAATTTATTTCACTGGATTATACTCCTTAAATAAAATCTTCAAACCCTAATCTTTCCGATTACTGCTTATACTCTTACTACCTCTAGTACCATGAGATTTGAATGGACAACTGTATCTCTGTGGTAATGTGGTATGGGAACTCGAACTGATGTACGTACTTGCGACGTTCTACGTTGTTACTGACTGACTGATGTTGAATAAAAGTGTCACGGGTTTGATCGCTGGTTTGGTCATGCGTGAACAATTATGAAGAATTCTATACCAGCATAATACAGTTGTGAAGCGTTCCCAATTTTTTAGTGGTACTGAGTACCGATTACAAAATTAAATCGATTTCGACAAAATTCTTTCATATAAATCATAATAGTTACCTTACTAGTGAATGACTTTAAAATTCCGCGGCTAATGACGTTCAGACATGTTGGGAGTGAAATAGTTGTTCTTAATGGCGCTCTATGACAAATTATTTAAAGTTGGAACTGTACCATTCAACACAGACGCAGTTGTCCTATCGGTTAAGCATTCGCCACAAGATCTGAACGTTCCGGGTTCGGGCCCTGATAGGGTCCATGTAGTCATTGCTGCGGAGTATAGTACTAAGTAGAAACATCTGCTAAGAGCTCTCTGATTCATAATGGTTTCACAATTGAAATCAATCTCCGACGAACACCGTCTACGTAACACTATCTAATAGTTTAGAACGTCTTATTCAAGAGTCATGAACCTCAATATATTCACCAAGACACTGTTTAATAATTATAAATACAATTATACAGCTTAAATAAATGAAAATTATCTACACTGCATTGTCTTAATAATAATTAGTAAAGAAAAGAATTACGGTTTAAATTGGCTTGACATATTAGTGCAGAATATATATATTCCTAACTCCAATTTATGGATGTTGGTCAATGCTCTTCCAATAGAATCGGTGTTTAACTGTTTCATCCTTAACATAACTGAACTGTACTGATCACGAATTCTCACTAGCACTGTGGGAATTGTCACTCCAAATTAGTCACTGATAATCTTATAATTACTGTTATTAGTGTAAAGGTTTTGTGGGACTTGATGAAACTCAGCTTACATTACGAGCTGATTTCAGTTCAGTGATTTTTCAACTCAGACCATTTAATGGTATTATTATGTCTTGAGACGTTCATCGATCTCGCATGTTCAATTCACTAACTAGAATTCTAACTGCAATTTTTTTCTATTTTGCGTCTACTATTTCTTCTATCGCCTGACGTCCTAGACCTGACCAGTTACACTTCTGATCTGAACGGGCCACTTTGAGCCGACTAAAGCTAAGCTCTTATTAGTCCACCATCCACAAGGTTTTTTCTATTACTTGCTTTGAGTTCAAAGAGAACTCAGAAGTTAGCTTCTCCTAGGCTCAGCTCAATACTGAAACAAAATTCGTATATATTTTAATACATGGAGTGGAGTCTTAGCCATACATCGACATGAGTAAGAAACTACATTTATTTATTTATTTGGACACATGAATATTGGTACAAGAGAGCGCCAATATATATGCGCCACACAAAACAATGAAAATTCGAGAGGAATACAAAGAAAGAAAAAAAAGTTAAGGAGCGCAACAAAAAAAGAGAGAACAATAACGAAGAGATTGGTGTAAGGTAATGTGCTAGTAATCAGGGAACGCAAAGGTACAATCGGAAGAAACCTTTTAGGTAAGGGAGACACAACCACCTTTTATGAAGAAAGTAAAAGAAGGTTACAGCAGGATCGCCATTGGCTTCTATTCTGAGCCATATCTGATAACGTCTCTAGCCACTGTGTAGCACCATCTCTCAGACCCCAACCAGGGAGTCGTGAAGGACCAACACAAGCCAGTCCTTTGCAGCTTTCTTTCATGCCACGACACCATGTCATGCACTGACCACCTCTCCGCCTCTTCCAACCAATCCCAGAGTCGGCAAATAATGCAAGACATG